CGAGAACCAGTTTTCGTATAAGGGGCCATCGGCGATCTCCGTGTGCTCGTATATATATATATAATATATGCAACAGATAAATATAATCGGTGTGGCGTGTTGTGGAAAATTGGATATGGCATCGGGAAAGGATGTGTGAAAAAAATTGAAAAAATCGAAATCGGTCCTTCCAGATGTGCGAGCGTCCGCACTTGCTCTTCTGACCGCACTAATAATAATATAATGTGCAATGCGGTTTCGCAGTTTCGACGACCGTACACGCGTTCCGTGGTCCGAATTCTCTCGCTCCGTCGTCAATAATTTTGGTGTCGTATTTTTTATTTCTTACATTGTTTTTCTTGTATTCCTGTGCACGTTATTCACTCTATTATTATTAATATTACGTGTCTTGAACGTACACATTTAATATGACGTGTATAATGCTTATTGATCCCTCAGACGATTTAGATTACGCATAGGGCATAGCGATCGAGTTGAACGACGTGCGAATAAGTGTCACGCGGTGCATTGCATTGCATGCCTCTTGTCGACCGATGTTCAATAATATATTATATTATATTACATGAATCTGCAGTAGCGAGTTGTCAGACCCCCCAGGGATGTCCCTAGACTCATTCGTATGATGAAGACAGGGAGGGGGGAGTTAAAGGTTCAAACTCAGTTTTTGCATATTATTATAGTTAAACATTTCTTATTATAAAATATAAGTTTATTTTTATAGGTACTTATGTACTCTATATCATTATTAAATATTAATATTAGAATAATTTGATTAAGTAGTCTTTTTGAGAAATTCGTGCTGAAGCAAGTTAGTTGAGTGTCTTACAATTAATTAAAATTTACAATTTTTTTCTAAAATGCTTATAACTTATTTTAAAACTAAAATATCAAGAAAATCTTAGAATTGGCCTCAAATAATATTCTGACCTTCAAATTTTATAAAGAGTTAAATTACTCCAACAATAAAAATAACAGAGTAAAATTTCATCTAAATTCGACAATCTCAACTACACATTAATTCAACAAAATGTAATATACTAATATACATCTATTAAATACTACAAGACAATTTTAAACCCCCCTTGAATACATCCATGTTGTACCGCAATATCACGTATCTTCATTATTTTTCCTTAATACTTCGGAATAACATTAAAATTATATATTATAAAATTTGTTTAATCGCTGTAAAGATCCTTTTATCCGAGGCAAAAAAGTTGAATTATTATTATTTATTTCTCTGAAACTAATATCAATTCAATTGTTGTCTCTACTGTATACCTTGTAATTTTCAGTTACGTAATATTGCATTAATGACAGTCTCAATTATTAACAGAGGAATTTTTTATAGAACAGAACAGAAACTATTGATCACAGTTAATCGTATCAATATAAACTTTGAGTTTTGTAAAAAATATAATTTTTTCTTATGAATACCGATCAAAAGCTTTTTCGTACAAATCGATAATGATGTGCAGCCTGCATAAAAGAATATTATTGTATTCAACAAAAACTTAAATGTATTTTATTTATTATAGGATCACTATAATATTATGTAGACGGGTGACTATGTAGTATGTGTACTTATTTTAGAGACATCCACTGATCACCGGTCGGCGGTCATCGCGAATTGCTTAGGTGTTTATGATCGCGGTTTTGTCATCGTAATGACTTTGAAGTAATGTTTCGCGTAAATATTATAGTTTGTAGTTTAGTTAATGATTTCTCGACTTCTCAACATCGTCTCGACATCTCCAACGGTCGGATATAAAATGCAACCAGTTTCCTATTAGCCATTATATTATACACCGTTGCATTCCATTATTGGTGTTTCGTGAACCTTTTTCTCTTCCTCTTTGGCTCTTCCCTCACCAACACACCACGCGTCTCAACCGCCGTTTACATGGTATATTTCCCTACGCCCATCCACCGACGGTTTATATAACACGAACTTGTTACGCATACACGTGCAGGCGTATAATATATACTACTACTCGGTTAGCCGCGTGTGGCACTGACATCGACCTTTCGCCCATTATACCTAGGTATGTAATGCATAGTACCTACGTCCGTAGACGATACATAAACGTGTGTCCCTCGTGATGCTTTGTCATTTCAATGGGCGCCGCCTACATGATAATAATAGTAATAATATGTATCTTGTCGGATCTTGTTTGTTAGAGTTATACGGGAAATAAAATAAGATTGCATCTAAAAAATCATTTGACGTATTTAAAACATAACCCCAGTATTATAATATACGTCGCATGCATTTTGTGCGGCGACCGAACAAATGTAAGCTCGTGACAAATCGGACTAGGAACAGAGCAAAATCAGTGAAAATAAAGTATTATTATTATGATTATCATACGGACGTATCTTGTATGTTTAGACGATATTATATTGTGCTTATAGTAGTAGTTAGTTTTGTATAATATTATTATTGCGTGTTTTTTCCATTGTCGCAACTCGAAGTCTGTAATGAAATGTGTATTGACACCTATGTTATACCAATTTATACACCTATGTAGGTGTTTTAATTAAAAAATAAAACCCTATAGTAAAATATAAGCTATACAAGGCGCTGGAGATAAAATTGGAGGTTGTTAATGCGCGTGAATAAAAATATGTATTTACGCATATAAAATAAATATAATATGTGATATATTATTATATAGATGAGTAAGATATAATGTTTCTTGATTTATATATCATGTTATTTATATACCTACATAATGACGATTTTTAATATAATTTTTATGTTTATAAATTATTTATTTAATAATTTAATATACATTTTTATATTTATAGATTTACACCAAATGGCGTTATAGAAAATAACTTAAAATTATTAACAAGGAATTATAACAAGCGTAAATTCAAATATTAACGATAAATTACATAGGAACAACTAAATAAAAACCAAATAACGCAGCTTGGAGGCACTTAAATAAAACAGTTAGGTATAGGACGGATCGGAGATAATATTCTGCATACATCTAAGTAAAGAATCTTCATACACATAATTTGCTCTGTAGGTCGGGATAAAAAATGTATATTTTTATTACCGGTGTAGTAGCACTTCAATTGGTTCAACGTGAATATTTAGTTACATTTTAACGTTTTGATTTTCTTGTCACATAAAATTAAATATCTGATTTCCGTTTTTAGGGACAAATGTTATACTTGAAATCAAATACACGTAACTGTCTATAGTACATTTACATACGTTCCGGTTCAACCAGTATATTAACCGTTAAGTCCTGTTTGGCAAATGTCAAATATTTACCTTTTATAATTACTAATTCAGATATATTGTACAATAAAATGTTGTGACAATGTTCACAGAACAGAACGCGGGTTTCGATAAAACATTTGTAATATTTGTTCTTTATGATGCACACAGAAACACTGAATTCATTTTTTTTCATATAATATAGGTACATTGCATCACCCCGCGGCCTGCCTGAGATGAACAAAGAATATGACGTGATGAAGTATAAATCATAGTTGTGACAGACAGCGATGAAGTTTTTAGCATAAAGATTGTTAAAATTCTTAAAGCTGCAATGTTGGTAAGTATTTATTATTAGATTGGAAAATCTGGTTGAACTGGAAAAACTTGTAGTTTTTTTTCTTTCAAATACAAAAAAAATGAGTTATCCTCATTCCTCATAGACATAGGATTTCTTGAACTCGACTCCCTTAAGATAAATGTTGTAAACTGTTTGATTAATTGGTTGTTGGAAAAAATCTTGCATGCAGTTTACAGATAGGGGAGAAATTAAAAATGAAATATTTGAACGAGCTGGATTACGATATTTTGGGTAAATATTATACTTTTAAACAGGATTAAAAAATTTAATTAAGCTTAAGAACTGTTATTGGAAAATTTGTACGTAATACGAAATCTTCAATATATTTATCTACATAATATATTAAATTGACTTATTTTTATATTATTCAAAAGCTTAAAATAAAGTAAAATAATATGAATATTTTCATTCATACAAACTATTTAAAATTTCAATTTCATCCATTAAAAAACTAAGTCATGTATATTTAATATATTTTATGTCTTATGTGGTACAATTTATTTACAATAATTAGCTTGTAAAAATGTGAAATATACCATAGTTAAAAAGTATGTATTAGGTATCTACAGTGGCTATACCAAATTAGTTTCATTCGATATCTATGAAATAAACAAGTAACTACTATAAAGTGTTGTTGAAATAATTTTTAATTAATATTTTGGTTTTAGTTGTATTGTTAATTAACTTACATCCGTCATTATAAATTATTGCCTAAGCAGTACACTGCAATTTTTGTTTTAAATATATCTCAAATTTTTGAATCTAGATATGTAGACAAAAAAAAAAGCCGAAATAATTTTTGTGATGTGTATCTTATGTTTTTATATTTATTAGTTGCAACAAGCATAATTTTTTTGGCTTATATAATAATAGTACCTTACCAAGAATAATAATTATGTGTTATAAATTATAATCAAAGTTATTATTGATTTTATAAAATATAATTTAAATCAGCCAGTCAAGTTATGAAATAATTAATTATTTAAATGTTTAGTGTGTTGTAATCATGTACACATTTTTATCATATATCAATCATATATCAATGCGGGTACTTTAAAAATGTTGAAAAGAATAGAAATCATAATCATAGATAATTATTTTGTTTTTCATACCCCTGCAGCAGTTAATAATTTATAAACTTAATATAAAACGTCGGTACAGGAAAAAACGTGATATGCAATGCACCAAACTTTTAACAGAAAATTTGATGAATACTCCGGATAGATAATATCAATTAGACGAAATAAATTATGACCTCATCGAATTCACACCTATATACACAATAAAACAAATTTGGATTTTTTGGCAACCCTTCGAATATTCGAATACATTTCTTATGGTTTAAAACGACGTCAGTACAAAAATAACTATGTAGTGCAAAAAAAATAATAAAATTATGCTTACCGTGGTATATTAGACATTGACACAGGCACCAGCAAATGGCAAGGTACTCGGAAAATCCGAGACTCTTCATCGTATCGCAGGCTTTAGATTTTACTCTATCGTCGAGAAACGGAAAACGGTCTGTGCTCGTGCGTAGGTATAAGTACTGTTTCAACAATTGCACATTACACTGTCCCGACGTGTGTATAATATATAATATTCTCTAAATATGTAAATATAAATGCCGGTTTAAAGGTTATAACACGACGGAAACAAAAAAAAAATGTCGATGCGACAAAATGATTGCGATACAACGTCGAGTGTGTTTATTAAATAAGTGTCTCCGGAGGAGTGAATTACTATACTATATACGATTCGCGTGCCGGTCGTCCGCCGCAGAGTGTGAGCACGAGACTGCGCGTGTGTTGCCTATATCGTACGGACTGATAGGTACGACTGATACGATGATGCACCTGGAGCAGGGCCACAACCTACTGACTCCGTTCTAGAAAATACCGGCGGCAATGAACTGGGCAGCAGCACACGAAAAACGTACGAAACGAAAAATGCAAGAGAGGAGAAAGGCGGTAAATGCGGTACAGAGAAAATAATAATAATAATATGGTCGCGTATTGGGCCGGCGCTCGGCTGCCCGCGGTAGGGGAACGCGCTCGGCACGCGAAGATGCAACAGCGGCGGCGGTCTTCATTTCTCTCTCTGCGGCTGCTGCACCAGCCGTCGTCGTCCATTTCTCCTTTTATTTTTTATGGTATTATTATTCGTCTTTCTTCGCGACATTGCAAGTCTTTCCATTATCACGGCCAATGGGTTGTACACACAAACTGCACTTAATGACAAATAGACGAATATACGTATATGCGATATACGAATGGTCGGACGTGCGTCCTTCTCTGCGCCTTCGGTTTCGTGACTTAATGTTTTACACTCGAGAATAATATTAATAAATTATAATCGTTATTGTTGTCGCCGCGTCTGTAGGTCGTTTATGGAAACATGCGCAGTTTTCTTTTCTTAGCAAGTAAAAATGATCGTGTTACTACTTGTAAGCTAAGTACTGAAATTTATATTATACTCTGTCTCGTTTTTTTTGTTAATTATATACTCTCCTAAAATTTGAAATCGGGCTTGACCATTAGGAAGTAGCCTCGTTCGTATATTTACACTTGACTTCATGTTTTGAGTGTATTTCTTCTAAGAATGTTATTATGTTATATGATAACATTGTAGGTACTATGGCAAAAAATATATATCAATACACAGTGTAGTGTTGTTGTGCTCTTTAAAAATGAACTCAGGCAAAATGAAAACATAATACCTCCCCTCAAGCTTTTCATGCGGCCAAAAGCATAAGTTTTTACTTCGTATAGAAAAACAAAAAGTCTAATTTTTTTGTTTTCTGTACCCAAAGAAAAAAATAATCGATGACGCAACTCATAGGTAATCATTTATTATTTGACTATAATTTGATATGAGCCTCGTACGAAGTACCTACTACCTATGCAACTATAATTAAATACAGTGGCGGTCAAATGATTTTGTCATGGAGGAGGATATGGCTGATTTTTTAACATGCACTTTTTAATTATTAAAAATATAATTTACGGTTATTATAAATTAAATATTGAAAAAAAGGTCATGCGGAGATCTATCCCCCACATCTCCGGGTTTGACCACCACTGAATAAAACTATAAATTATACTACCTACTAATTCATTTAATTTTTATAAAAGAGTAATGCTCAATTGTAATTATGAGCTACCAAGTAGAATTTATAGAGAACAGTTGGCTACATATGCAATCATTACTATTTTATAATTTAATTTACAGAACTACAGCCAACAGATTATAGTACCTATTATGGCAAGTTAACATAACATTGAAACAATTATAATAATTAATTAAGCTAAATTAAAGAACAATAAGGCTTTAGTAATGATTTTAAGTATAATAATAATCACTAATTAGTAAAAGTAGGTATTATTTAAGTTTGATTATATTTCTCTGTCTCTTCTTGAATGTATTCATTTTCTTGTATTTTTTCTCATAAGACATATCCTTTCTCTGTATTTGTATGCAGCTCTTTGTAACGATGATGCTGATACCCAAAATTGAAGAACTAACTTTCTGCTATTCTAAATACCTACCTATTGTTCCTACTCAACTATTTTGTAATTCTCGTGTATTATAATTGTAAAAGGTTACCATTGGGATGTCTGTCCGTTCTTATAATACATATGTATATATTATTAAGTACCTAATTATTAACCGACTAATTAAACTATTAAGGTACTTATTAAATTATTAAAAGATTCAATTGAAGTATTAGAAAACAAGTATGTAAGCTGTAAACATTTAAGTTTTTAGTGTTTTTATCAATTATATTAATTTATTTACAGCAAGGAGCATTTTGATCATAATTCGAACTCTGCGGAAGGGCACTTCACAATATTCTGGTATGAATTTCAAATCATAACCGTTCGGCACCTCGCCATATTTCATAAAAAAAAAGTCAAACCACGACCTTACCTAAGTCAAAGGGTTTGGTGTAACTGCCGATCCAGTACCTATTTTTTTTTTTTGATGTCCATCCGGTTTGAGTTGTAGTTTTGTAATTCAATAATGGTTTTGTGATATTTCGATTTTGACAAACAACATTGCCGCGTGTTCACCTGAACACATTAAGTTAATGGATTTAATACCAAAGTGCAAGGCCTCTTTATTTAACTCAAAGACATAGAATTATAAAACTTATTAAGTACATTTTATAGAGCTAAATTAATAATTAGTAACTTTTTAATACCAACAATTAGTTGGATCCTTAACATTGTGTGCTATTGCTATATAACATAAATAAAAGCCTTCAGATGTACATATATCATTATACATTTTTAAAATATTATTTGTATTTTTTCATTTGAACTTAAAATAAGTTTAAAATGTTTAAACATTATATAAGGATACCTAATCTATTAACGTATCAAGGCAGTAGGATTTCGTTTCAACGGGCCAGCCTGACGAATTAAATTAATAACGTATAAACATTGATAGATTGAAACTTTGAAATATACCTACTTAACAAATATGCACTTATGCATATTAATGAACTGATATAGTGATATGAATATACTTATTAGTATTATTAGTTATTGCTATACATTAATAGTCTAATGTGAAAGCTTAGGCCAAATATTCGGGTCAGAGCAAATTTAATTATTAACAGGATCATTATTAAGACTATCTCTTTTGGAAATGATATATACATAGTACATACTTTTAATTTGATAACAAGCTTTCTCTGTCAATAATGTCTAAACAGTGATGATAACCCGGTAAATTATTTTATTGAAATATTTACTAGCACCGATGTTAAGTTAAATTAGAATGTGCGTAAATAATTATAAATACACTTTTATAGCTATGGCTATAATGATATCTTGACAATTTATAATTGTTTGAAATTTGTCCAAATTAAACTGAATAAAATATATAATGTATTATATATATATAATATGTGTGTATGCGTGTGTGTGTGTGTACCGTGGATTAATCCATCTAATGAATAATCCGAATAATCCGGTCCACCACCCGCCGTATATTTACTAAAATTATTATGCAATTTACTATTAAATAACAATAATTTTCTTCATATTATTATGAACTTAAACCATTTGTACTTTAATGTTTCATAACTCTGAAACTCTATACTAAATCACATAAAATCTGAGTATAGAAAAAATGGTCTTTGAAGTATATTTAGAAATATTTCAAAAATCAGAAATGAATACATTTATTAGAAAAGGAAAAATGCGGTGATGCTGCAAAGTGAAACAACCTGTCTATATAATAAATCTAAACATAAAAAGCTAAGAATAATAATATTATAGCCATCAGCCATCACTTTTTAAAAATAGGAAACAAAAGGAGAATAACACGATTTTTTATATAGCTATATATATATATATATATATATATACACACACATATATAGGTTCGCGTAAACCCACGACTTTAGATTCAAAACAAATTCCCACGATTTAAATAGTATGGAAATTATATACTTTCCCTAATGACACATTTAATTTCTTAAACATAATATTATGTTCTATACTATTGTTGATTCTATGTCGACCATTCATTGTAAACCACCATATATTTATTATTTACATATTTAATATTTATATAATTTATATTTAAATTGTACAGGTATCAGTACTAGTATAGTTATTGTCATACATATGTATAATAAATGCAATTTTTTTTGTCTAGGGTGCTCATATTTTTAGTAAAAATTGTCGAGATTACCCAATTTTTAAAGATAAGTTCCTAGTTTGTTAACTAAGAAATCAAAATTGTCTAAATCAGTACAAAATTGCTATCAATTTATTTTTAATTACAGTAATTCAGTCGTTATTAAGATTATATTTATGAATACATATAGACTAGAAAACAATTTTAATTACCAATGTAAAAAATGTGTTTTTGTTGTGCCCATACAATATTGTGTAATCTTACAAATCTTCAATAATTAATACACGCATTCTTCGATACTTCTTATAGTCGTATACACAACAATCGTATACGTACGTATAGTTATGCAAATTGTACGAGTACAAATCAAAAAAAGTTTATATTGTTTTCATACATGTAATATGACAGTATGGACTTGGCTCAATTTATTCAGTTTTTAGCACTGATAGTTTAAATTACTTATTACTATGACCTAAATAACTAAAGTTCATAAAATAATGTTGGAGGGTCGTTCATTTCCTGTTCCTAACGGTTCAAATCAATTTAGCTGATAAAATAAGTGAACGGCATACTTGAGTTTTCTATATTATTTCAACATTATTCCGATTCAGATTAGGCAGGTAATTTAGATAAATTAATTTCATTTAAATAATAATACGCGTACACCGAGTTTTACGATGTATTATCATTTTTTCTGTTTAGGATAAGTAATATAGTTTCTATGTAATATAAACAATTGTTCCATCTTCTACATAATAATTCGAAAATTAAATCCAAAAATAAGGTAGGTACAATAATTTGTAGCTATTACAATTTATTTAAAATTGATTACAAGTTATGATCAATAACCATTTTATTACAGTTTCGATTATCATTATCGATATGCTGTGATCAAATATGTACTTAGTATTTTTATGTACCGCCAATGTTAGTACAGAATAAAATTTAAACTATCATTGTAGGAATCTTGATCACAGTATAGAACATTACTGCTCGATATTATAGTAGGTACATATTATATAGTTAATTATACGATGTTAAAAAAGTTAAACAAAAATCAGATAAAATATGTACCTACGGCAACTTCATAGAATAGTATTTTTAAGTGCTACTAAGTACCTACTAAGAGAAAGAAATATATAGATCCCAGAAGTAGGTACAATTAATAACCTGATATTAAGACGTGCCGGCGTGTGTTTTGTAATTGCTTCATTCCGACAATAGTTTTTATATATATAGGG